AATATAAATTCGATTAAATTAAAAGTGCAGAGGACATGAAAAACAGGTTTTTTTCACTACAAAAAAAAATGCACCGAAATTGCAGGGATTATGTCCAATCACAAAAGGTATATGATTCTTGCTATTATTTTATTTTCATTTTTTTAAAAAGTTCAAAAAGAAATGTAAAGGGTTAGCTCCTTACCGGTTCAATTGATTCATTTTTGCTCTTCTAAAAACCTTACCTTTTTTTTTTTTGCAACTAATTTTGATGGACAATTGAGCGGTGAATTACAGTTTGCAATCTTCAAATAGAAATGATTAAGTATTAAATCTGTATAATAATAAGTTAAAAAAGTATATGAAAAGATACAACAATGCATGTGACTTTTTAATATTTCTTTTCTTTTTAAGATGGCGTGGGATTGTAAGTACGTTTTTTTATGTTTGACTAAATATAGCATTTGCTTAATTACTTATTACGTATATATAAAAGTTTTGACTCCTTTAAGTATAAAAAGGCATCCCACTAATTAAGATCCTCCACTACAAACACTAAGGTTTGGTTAACATTTTAATAATAAATTTTCACGAAAAACTTTGGAATGGTTATAAATCGAAAATTTATATTTTATATTATTTTACAGAGAGAAAAGTTTTGCTAATAGTGCTATTTTATTTATATTTTTAAATTAGATGAAAAGATTTATAATCATATTATCTTTATTTTTACAATTCAGTTTTTTTATTTTATGGATATAATATATACACCTCCTATTTATTTTACAACAAAAATTTATATGAAAATATCATATTCAAAACAAACTTTTTCCTTATATTACGAGTATAAACCTTCAAATAATTGGTTTGAAGACTTTCTTAACTTCATTTTAAAATAAGAACCATAAAAATAAAAAATTTCTATATTTTGATTTCTAAAAAAATATACGATTTAAAAATAAAATAAAACATTTTAACTCAAGATACAGTTGATTGATAAAAATATATTTTCTAATATTTTAAAACTAAATGAAAGCTACAAAAGCTTTTAACAGTGTGTGTGTATATATATATTGGTTATAAATAATATAACACTTTACACATTTTTAAAATTCAAAAACGCATTTTAATTTTTTCTATATCAGTCAATAATTTCAATACAATATAAAATTGTATATAAAGCGTCATTTAACCATTGAACTCAAAATATTTATAAAATACTGTTTTTAATCTTTTGAGTTTACTAGTTGTATCTCCTAAATATATTTTATTATTCTATTACTATATTTTCCATAATTTTTTTCTCACTGTTTCATATTATTTAACATATTTCAAGACAACCTTACGAAATAGAGGAAACGCATTACGATTTTCCCCCTCGAGGACGCATGACAGCTTGCGGAGATAGTTGCAATTCTAAATTCGTTTTAAAATATATTTGCTTTTCATTTTTTTTTTCTATTTCAGTGTCCGAAACCGCCGCCATGCTTATAAGAATATAACCACTTGAAAACGAAAGTACACTAAAAATAGAAAATAAAATATAAAATATAAAAAAGCATGGGTCGTCATCATTCACAAGAATCAAGTCAAATGCAGCATTGCCATCAACCAAGCCACTAGTGGTCCCTACCACTATTTCTTTGTCATCTCTTATATTATTTAGACCTTCAATGACAATTAGTATTTTTTACAAAGCAATAACAATTAATATTCATAAATCTATTTTAATAAGATCATACTAATCATTGATCTTATTAGTCACTTAATATTAATAGAGAAATATAATAAATACGTTTAACTCTTATATTTCTAGACTTTTCAAAGCATATTTTAATTAAGAAGATTAAATTAGGTTCACTCTTTATCCCATCTTTTTACAGCAAATTTTAGTTTTTTTTTGTTCGCTTTACTTATGTTTTATTTTTATCAAATTATTAACGATATTTTAAAACACAAACACTTATTAGTTGATAAAATTCAGTGTATTCAAAATTGGTTTGGACTAGCCGATTAAATCGCTTTAATCGTGAGAGAGTATATGTTTTATACCCTTAAAACCAACTACACGACCAAGTTAAATGAATTAACCTATAACCCAATAACAAATATAGTTTTATAAATGATGATAGTTTTTATTTTGAGTTTTTTATTTTTGGATTTTATCTTTCGATTTTTTATTTTATTTTTGTAACATTTGTAAATCTAAAAAATGAAGTTTTTGGTTTTTAATTAATTTTTTTACAAAATAGTTTTTCATTTTTTTTTAGAAAAACTAAATATATAAAATCTTGATTGTAAATATTTTTAGTTTTAAAATTCTAAAATCTCACATTGAGCCAATGTTTTCATATTCAGTTTTATTTTTAGAACATCACGTGATACGACTTATATTTTGATGGTTTCTTTCCACTTTAACCCTTTATTCGCCCAAAGTGTCAAAGGAATCTTTTTTGTTCCATTGAATCTTGAGTGTGTCAAGACCGAAATCACTTGGCAATAGGCGCTTGACTTATATATAGTATATATTCCATTGTTTACATTCTTTAGCCAACTATACTATCAATATATATTTTGATATTAAGAAAAACACTTTAGTCTAGAGGCTAAATGTATTTATTTATTTCAAAAATAAATAAAATTGTGATATTATATTAATAGATTTTTAAGAGTGAATATTTCAATTTTACTTGTGAGAGTATATTGATATATATGTTGGGTATCTAGAAAACATTTTTTCTATTTTGAGTTTAAGTGGTTAATGGGATTTCGAGAAAGATGCGCGTGAATGCAAACACACTAACGTGTATATTCATTGAAAAGGAAAGATGTGCTTTTCAATTTGGTTGGTTCCTACACGCAGGGAAGTCCCACCACACTCCCCTCTTAATGGGGAAAAGAGTGCTTCAATTATATAAAATATCAATTTGATTTTGTGTTTTCGAAACTAAAATAGACCGACCAATCTTTTGAGAGTTATATTTCATTTATTTATTTTTTTAGTATATAATTCAAGAAATTCTTTACCTTTGGAATTTTATGTGTATGTGATTGAGTACCTAAAAAAACAAAAAAAAAAAGAGACAAATTAAGGACCTACGGACAAGATGGCAGTTAATTCCGAGCCATCAACTTAACTATTAATATAAAGAAATATAAATATCATTAATAGTTAACAACAATATGTAAGAATTAGAACCTAATTTACTATGCTCGGACGATCATTGCAGGTGAAATCATTGGCCACACCAATGCATAATTGCAAATTAAATGTTTAAAAATCAAGCACTGATGCGTTAATCGTATTAGCGATGAGTGTTTTCTATTTCATGGTCAACCCACGAAATGATAAATATGCAAAAAAAAAAAAAATTGTAATAGTTATTATTTTCTGTTTACGATTATGATCTGAAAGAACTATTAGCACAGAATGTAAATATCAAAGCTCGGATTTAACATATATATATATATAAGTAAAAGCACTTCATGCTTTGGTTAGTTTAACCACTGCCAGAATTCGGTTTGGTAGAAACCAAACTGCATTTAAACCAATCCATACGACAAAACCGTACCAACAGTCCAATGGAACCGAAACAAGAACTCGATTCTAGACAGTACCGGTTTAGCAGAAAACCGAATCGGATAAAGACAAACCGGGGGACTCATGCATGAAAGAACATCTGTTTCATTCGTGTATTTGTGTGTGTATATATATGCAGATACTGAAGCTTTTAAGAGGGGAAGCCGAAAAGGAGATGGAGGAATGGATGAAGAGAAGGAAGGAGGATTCAGAGGAAGATAAAGATTGCTTCGACGACGAAGTTTACCCTAATTCGAGCGCAGAATTACACTTGAGCCTCGCCATGCTCGACGTAGAAGAAGATAACTCTGTTTCTTCGTCGTCTTCTTCTTCTTCTTCTTCTCCTGGAGAGATTCCTTCTTCAAGCTCTCATTAGGGTTTGTTTTATATATATATATATATATATATATATATATATATAGACAAACTATATTTTAATAGCATATGATTCTTATGGAGTGGAATCATAAATTTTCAGAAGGGCATATTCGTGTAAAAAGGAAATGAAAACATTGTCATTCAAGGACAGAAGCAAAAGCTCAGCTTTCCAGCCATAAAAGTGACTGCAAGAAGAGACCCTAGCAACTGGGAGCCCATTCACTCCTTTCTCTCTCTCTCTAAAGATTCTTTTTTGCATTTTTTTAATTTAGTTTTTTTTGTATGTTCTTTTATTTCTGAAGCATGCCTTTGGCTTTTTATTGAATAATGAATATTTGATTTATTAAAAAATTATAGACATTTCATATAATTATAAAATTTCATAAGATGAAATATTTTTTATTATCTTCCTGGCATATTTGAATCTTAAGCATTCCAAATTGAAGGATGTTAAAATTGAAGCATTTCATATAATTATTTTAATTATAAAAATATTATCATTTAAAATAAGAAATATATATGTATATATGTTTGTTTATTAATATGAATCAGTAGTATTGTATTATTCCAAAATCCTCGACATGAAAGAATTCGTGTTGACCGTGGTTGCGTCGCCACATGGCGAGGCTTCCATCCTGGCGGACGGACCACGTACGTTGTTTAAACAGAGTTCCCGCCTTTGGCTTAACATTTAAAAAAAATCATATAAATAAAACGATTTATGAACGTGCTTGTAGTAGAAGCCCAATTCGTTCGTTATAATGATTTAAGCCCACTAGTAGTTGGAACCAGAACCATGAAGCCCACAAGGCCTAATACACGTGGTATCGTAAAAGATTTAGGCCCAAATATATGTGAGACCACAAAAAGAATATTTTGGGCCTATTGGGCTTTAATGCAGGCCCATTATTCTCTCCGGGCTCTTTTTGTTTTTTATTTTTGTCCGAATGCGATTCTTCTTCGACGTGAAATACAAACTTCAAATCCCAGCTATACGAAATCCGAAAGCCTTCATTGGATTCGAAGCTTAAGAAGTACGAATTCTACAGTATGAATAAACAACTTGCTCTGAAGCCGAGCAATTGCTTGCCCAGAATCTGTCATTAGCTTAGGAATAATACAATTCCATCATTCTCTATACAATGAATTTGGGAAAACCGACAATAACGAAGAACAAGACAAACAAAAACGAAAAAAAAAAACCCAGTTAATTCCTAAAGGTAAGAAAATAAAAAGAAAAAAGGAAGAGAGCTGAAACTATCAACAACTAGTTGAGAAGAACCGCCTAAAACCGATTTGCGAAAGAAAATATCCTTTTTTTTTTTATGTGATTTAAGCATATTTCCTTTAGCCGAAATGTTGCTGCGGGAGAAATCATGGAATCAAAAACCTAATAATCAGCGCCAAGGAATTTCTCGTACTGGGTTCCATTGAGGGTCTTGTTTACATCTTCCCAGTTCTTGACGTGAGCTGACAGGTCTCCTCTGTGTATCTTCACTTGTCTGCTCGTTAGCTCCATTACAGGGATGTTTAAAAACTCTTGAACTTGTTTCAATGTCTGCACCAGAAATATAACACACTGAGAAACTACCATCTCAATCAAATCTAAACGAGAAACACTGCCGATTCACGGGTTTCCAGTTTGATCTCTAACTAAACTCTCCTTTTATTTTCATTTTGCCGCATTATTACGCAATGGAGGCTTTGAATGTGAGAGGACTAAGCAAAAGATACAGACTTTATAAAAGCAAAAACTGCCCTTTGTTCCAACTTCTTTGTGGGGCAGAAGGGTCGTTCACCAACTAGGAATTTAGACAACTAACCGTCCGGTTTGTGATAAGATCCTCATAGTAGACAACGATGTGGCGGGTGCTATTGAAATACTGCAAAGCCTTGGCTGCTACATTCTCTGTTTCTTTAAGATCATATATCAGGGACGTTGAGTTTATTACTGGCCTATACCTTGAAAGTGCATTTGCCTGAGAGAAAAGAAGAATCAAGAACCATTCAAATTCATGAAAGATGGATAGATAGACAGATAGATACACCAATACACATGTGCCCGTTGTGTATATACCTCTTCCGGGGAATGAACGTGAGACTTGTGAGTCCCGTTCAGTAGCTTAGCGTAACGGTCATAAGAGTTAGCCAGCACAGAGACCATCCTTCTGAGGAGGTTCCTTCTGAAGAGAAAGATGGCAGAGACACCTCTCCTGTTAAAGTACTCCACAATATCTTTATGGTTATCCAATAAACCCTACAAAATATCACATTAGGATTTAAAAGCCGAAATATTCATATGGTTGCACCAACGAAGAAACCGTAGTACAGATTATATAGTTCTCAGAGTCTGAAAACATCTTTTGCACCTGATTCAGCATCCATTTGAATCCAACAGCGGCAGAGCACTCGTTCTTGGAAGCGCTTGTTAACACATCCAGATTATAAACTCTATCAAGAGTCTGAATAATGGAAGAAATATTATTTCTCCGGCCCAACACCGAGAAGATCTCCCCATTCGAGCTCACATTCGCATGACTGTTCAGTAATGTCTCGAACCACCCACTTCCTGATCTCTGCATTGACAGTATGGCAAAGAACCTCACTGGATTATGCCCACATTCGGCCCTGTATAGAGAAGATTTGATCAACCAAAAGGAACCAAAGACAAAAGTCTTAAATAATAGAGAAGATAATAGACGAACACTGGCATTACCGGCTAAAAGTCTCAGGCTTTGGGTAATGAAGAGGGGCAGCATCCAATGGTTCAGACAAAGAGGGTCTTTGGACAATCTGGATGCTTTCGAACTTAAACCTCGTGACATTACCAATCTGTTTTAGGCATATTGAGCATATGTAGATACCGCAAGCCATTGCAAACAGCAAAACAATCATCCTTAAAAACAAGGGCGATTTCTTTGGTGGCTTTATAACTATGGCATTGTCCTGTAACACATGACATCGATCTTAAGTCAGTCTAGATGGAATATCATGTGGGCAAAAGGGTCTCTGTTCATACAAAAATGAAAACAAACCCTCAACAGCTACGAGGAACTTTCCCCAGTAGCTATCCAGACAAATCCTGTCCCTAGGGTTTTGTTCGCATTTGATTTTGTTCAGTATGATGCATGATATGAAGCCTATTTTACAAATATAAACAAATTTTATGCGGGGTGCAGAGAAGAATTCGCATGAAGGCGAGAACATGAACCCAGATCAAGAAAACCAAATCAGAGAAATTCTACCAAAGCCCATCTCATGCTCCAAACAAAAAAATGCAGAATTTGCCGAAAAGATCAAAGCTTTCAGAGAAATAATTTACAAAAGACAAGCTTTTTTTAACAGCTAGAGTCACATGCAGAGATACCCAGAAACTTGATCGCAGAACTACGTAATAGAAAAAGGAAAATCAAAGAGACAGAGAGATGAAATCAGACGAACCTTGCCAAGTAAACAGATAAACTCCGCCATTGCTGCTCCTTCTACAACCTTCCCAGGCACAGAGACAGAACAGAAGGAGGAGGAGGGGTAAGATCAGAGAGTAGATGGATTCATCAATCTCTTTCAGTCACTACAGAGAATCTGAGAAGGAGAAGAAGAAGCCAAAAGAGTGGAGCGTTTCTTCTGGGCAAACATTTTTTCTGTAATATAAAATTTCCCTCGTGGAAAGCAGAGCCCTCATTAAAACATGGGTGGTGTCTTCTAATCGCATCCAATTAAATCCATTAATTAAACCTTTGTTTCAATTAATCATTTTCATTAATCTCTGTTGGGTCCAAACTAACATTCCTTTTGTTACGTTTGAAGTCCCGGACTCGGTCTCTTTCAAATCCGCATTTTCATGCCTACCGAGTTTTCGGATGAGAAATTTAATATTTTCTTGATGAAGCGTTTCGTAATTTGCATATGATAAAAATAATTTGTTTCTGTTTTTTTTTTTTAATTATTAGTTAAAGTAACACATAATTAATTGAGAGGTCCATGCGATGGGTGGAACTTTCCCCAACGGTTGGACCTTTTGACTTCGGTGCGTTGCTTTCTAAATTAAGTTTATCTCTTCGGTTTTTATTTAGATAAACAAAAATGTTCCTTCCTGTCAGTTTTCATCACTCGTAATCGCAATTTAATATTACCAAATTCATTTTTTTCTAATGATAATCGAGATTTGTATTTGATTCGATGGTTTATAAGTAGTCTATTTTCTGTTATTATGGAACGGTTCAAATGGGCAAAGGCAACGTACGGTGTCGGTAACTCAGATTGGTGTTAACAATTTGAGACCGATGCTCTTCATCATGTCCTAAAACCTCAATATTAATGGTGTTTTGCCGTGCTAATTATTCTCCAATATATTACATATACCTGCATGTATATGTATATATATATGTGCATACATACTTGTGCGACCGACACCGTACGTTGTCTTCGCTCCGATTACAAACAGTAATTAAAAAACGGTGATTACGTGATTTCCACGATATTTATAACTTAATATTAAAGGTATCGCGATATTATGGTTCAGAGCATTAATTATGTCTTCATCTCGTTGCAAAAATATTGAAGGAAACCTCGAGCTGAGCCAATAAATTCTGTTTTACCTCGAGCAGTGTATGATCCCATATGCAGATATTTATTGCATACATGTACATATATATATATATATATATATTAAGATAATATTCCAGATGTAAAACAAAATATATGAATATGAAAATATATATGTTTATGGAGCCGAGAATATTCCAGCTTTCATTCTGATTCAAAGTTAAAGGCTTTTGGCAAGCGAAAGAATAGAAACAGAATAGCTTTCTGTAATATATTATGTATCGAGTAGAGCCTCTGAAGTGGAATCCACGTTGGCTATTCCCTGGACAGAAAATGCCCATCACTTATTACCCCTATTTTTAGAATTCCTCCAATGGTTTATATATATATATATATATATATATATATATGTTATAAACATATATATATTCCTTTTCCTTTTCACACACACACATATATATATACACACTGTATATGCATTTCGGATAATTGCACAGTTGGACTACCTAGCTATAGAAAAATGGAATGGATTCAAGGAAAGTGTTGCCATTTCTATAACCATAATCGCTGGCCAATTTGGAGCTAAAAACAATAGATGAATCGAAATGGAAAATTAAGCAAAACCTGTATTTCTTAAAAAAATCCAGAAAAATAATGGAATGGATAGGCATCAAGGGCGATTGTTTTTTGCTATATTAAATGGGCCATAGAGTATTGGATCCTATGTGCATTAGGCCCATTGGGCCTATCTTTTGATTTCTTATTTCATACTTTGAAGCCCACTAAGTTATTAGGGAACGAACGTTCCCGAAACTATATACAGAATCGTTAGGGGATCACTACTAAAGCATCAATCACTATATCAAAGAATTAAATTTAAAATCCTTTTAATTCTATAATTTCAATTTTTCTTATTTTTAAAATTCAATTTTTTATTTTTATTTTTAACTCGATAATCAATAAATTCCACCATCTAAACTCTTTGACCTAATTTGGATAATACTCTTATCCATCACTTTTGTTCTCTAAACTCGTTTAGCTCAATCGATTGTCATTTATAATCAATACAATATAGTGAATAAAGTTTCAGACTTGCAAAAAAAAAAAAAACCACATGGCAAATGTTAGAAATTTTTTATGATATTTTGCATATTGCACTAAAAAAACATTAATTTAGATCATTGTACAAGATTGCCTTTTTTTTTTGGGTTTCTCGTTGTCTAATTTCTGTCTCGAACCGGAATCTTCAGGAACATGGTCCATCGCGCACAATATTTACCAGACGGAAGCCTATAATTTCTTACACCAAATTGATTAATTGAAATAAATAATATATAATTGAATAAATAGATCGATTCTAATCTACATTTTTGTCGTTTTCGAAATTAGAAAATGAAATAAAATAAATGAGTGGGGGAAGATACCCAATCGTCACAAGTCAAATCGAGTTTTGTCATCATCTTTAGGGATGAAACACTAAGGATAAATAATTGAATTGAAAACAAAGGCACGTAAATTAAATGGAATTGAATAATGAATAGATGGGAGCAGAAGATCGGTGGTGGAAGAGCCACGAGGATGTCTCTTTCTCCAAAGCCCTTCCCTTCGGATTAAATTTTTGGAATCCAATGCCATGTGGGCCCTTAGGGCTTGAATGGGCCCCACGGCCCATTCTAACAGTGAAATAAGTGAATTGTCGCATCCATTTTTTTTTTTTGGGCGTTTAATAAATCGGGAAAACTATTATGATACGTTCCGTTGCATAAAATGTCAGAATTTATTGATAATGGTACTTTTGGATCGTAAAATAAAGAGGGTGATGGCATCTTAAATATGGAAGTTAAGTCGTTAGCTTGTATTGTCGATATATGGAAACCATCACACGGTGAAATGGACCTCATATATCTTGGCTGGTTAAGATGAAAAAACATTACCACGGAAAGAAAACGGTAAATATGAAATATGGATCATACCAAAAAAAAATAAAAAATATGAAATATGGATATTTGGCTTGAAGGTTAAAATAATGGGTCGCATGAATTTTTGTCTTATTGTTTGAGAGCAGTAACAATATTGCCATTTCTATTATTCTTTTTTGTTATATTTTTTTTTATAACGGTAAAATTTTATATATGTATGATATTCCTTACAAAAGGAAATATTTAAATAACCGTCCTTAGTCTGAAAATAAATGAAAATTCGATACCTAAAACAAGAGAAAAAAACTCACTTAAAGAGTTTCGAAGTGATGAAGCAAAAAAGACCTTAGTTTCTTTGGAATAGACAATAGCCCCCTTCTCCTGGTCATGATGAGGAGGTTTTTTGTTATATATTGCTATATCTCAGTTTTAGTTTTACAAGTGTACGTACCTAGAGCCCTTAATAGTAATTAAAAGATTGATTAGGGGTGTGTGTTTGTTGTTAGATCAAATACTAGCTGTTGAAAGTGAAACACAACCTCGAGGGTATATAGGTAATCATTTGAAAAGTTGAATATATAGGTCATCCGTAATGATTCGATAATGCGACTTGAGTTTTTTCTTGACGATCCGATAATAACCGATATATAAATATCTCTCTCGTAATGTCATCATTGTCGCCGTTGAGTTTAACGTTGTCGTTATTATTGTTGTCGCAGTCGGAAGGGGGAACACGTGGCAGAGGATGAACAGAGTGTACTCAGCGTCCACGTGATACGACGACGGACTATGAAGGACACGTTAAGATGTCTCTTTGTGTCTGTGCGTGCGACGATATCTGTTCATCGAGTTCCGTTTTTATTTTCCAACATCCGCCGGCAAAACGACACCGTCTGCGTTATCTTTGACCTTTTTTTTAGCTAAATACCAAATGCTTCTCTCTGCTTCTTTAAATCTCCTTTTCTTGTCCTTTTTCTGCCTACATAATTTTTTTTTATAATCAGTAAATTTATTGTACCTTGATCTAACTACATGAAAAATCTATATGAATGTCCCCCAAACCAAGATTCGAATCTGGATTAAAAAGAAGTGTTACTTTTTTACCGATTGAACCACTGCGTACATAATTAATTATATATAATACGCAATACACTATGATCTTCACGTACCGATTCTTGTTAATGTTTAAATTGTTTGAAAAGTTATATATATTGTTATACATTAGAGGTTTGGATGCTTTATCACGTTTTCTTTACTCTCTGAGCTAGATAAAAAAAAAATTGGAAGAGTTTTCCTACTTCTTTATAGTGTTCTTGTGTTTTTCGGTTACCCATTTAATATATATATATATATATATATATAACATTTGTGGAAAAAATTACCAATTTATGGTCTAGTTTATGCAAGTATATGCCCTTTTAAAGATTAGTAGGCAGAGAGAGAAAAAGGGATGGGACGAGAAGCTCGTGGTTTGACGAACCAAGAAAGAAAAAATGGCCATTAGGTATACATTAAAGTTGGTTGTCTTCTTAATGGGAACTTTGCCATACAACAGCGACTTCTCTCTGCCTCCACGCCCATCCAACCGGAGAACTAATCTCACCAAAACGAGTAGCAATATTTATGAGCTAAGTTCTAGCTGGTACTATGATGATGATGATGATGATCATGGTGATGATGATGATGATGGTGGACAGTCTAATTCCATATTCCCTTTAAATCAGTGCGAAAATCAAGAAAGGATTTGCAGTTAAAGCTACAGTGTTCTTGTATGTTCATCCGGATCAAATGATAGTTTTATGGCCACCCATTACAAGTCATCCATCTTTGTCACCACAACGTATTGATGGCGACTTTAAGTTCCCCTTTATCATTGAATCTGTTACTGCTATAATGGTCGCATTAATTATTCCTAATATTTTTATAATATATATCTAAAGGAGCCGCTTGTGTCACATTAAAGTACCATAATCTTTATCGTTATTTGGTAAAGAATACAAAAATATTTAGCCTATCGTTGGATATATATACACACACACACACACACACTCTTCTCTAAACAGAGTCATTATGTTAATTATTTAATTTTAAGTTGGTTCGGAATTTCATACAACCGTCCACCGACTACATGTAAAACTACATACGAGTGGTGGGCATGTGGCTATTCAACCGACCCCCTAATCATTTTTTTTTTGTTTCTT